GAGAGATGCAGGGTAATTGGTGTCAGCTTTAATTAGCGGCTCCGTGTCGGACACCATATAGAGCTGCTGAACTGGTGACACTATAAAACCAACCTTTATACCCATTAACCCTGAACATGTGGAAGCTGAAGAAGGATGGATGTTATGCAGAGTTCAGGGTGGAGTGGGTAGAGATGGGGGTGATATGTGACAAAGGGATGGCAGAAAGAGTGAAAGGAAAGGGTTATGCGATGATAGTGACACGTGAGGCTGAGCTGCAGGTATAAAGATTTTTACTGGGAGTGTCCAGGATGGACGGGATTAGAAACAAATCCATCAGAAATATGTCGGAGTGTGTCAGAGCAGGCAAGGCTGAGATGGTTTGGACATGTGCAGATGAGGAACGGTGGAGATGAGTATGGAGCTGCCAGGCAGGAGCAAAAGAGGAACACCATGAATGTAAAAGATTCATGAATGCAGTGAAGGAGGACACGCAGAGGGTTGGTGTGACAGAGGAGGATGCTGGGGATGGGCTGAGGTGGCGGCAGATGATTTCGATCCCTAAAGGAAGTAGACAAAAAAAGATTTAAGGGGGAATGCAAGTGACGCTTGCATTTTTAGTATTTTAGTTTATGTGGAACTGTCCTTGAATTTTCAGATTTAAATAAAGACAATTCCACTATAAACAAAACCCATGCTCATCAAATTTGGTAGTAATATAAAAATATATACAATTAAAATGAGATTATCATTACAGGTAAAAATGTGCTTTTAATCTTACCTGCCACAGATATGCACCATCTCAAATACAGACTTCTGCTTCCATCTTGTGGCAGTTGGGGGAAATGCTCCAGCTCAAGACATGAAAATGAGAATTCTGCATCAAGATGATGGGAGAAGTCATTCAACAGTTTATACACATTTGAATATTACTGCGCATAATTCATGACACACATGCTTCTGTTTTTGCTGACAAATAGCACACTGCTTCAACAGTGTTGAGTTCTGGGCTGTGGGGAGGCCTCTCCATGGCTTGCTGTCTTTCATTGTGTGTGCGTTTTAATCCAAGTATGCTTTTACTGCTTTTACTATTTGGGATCATTATGCTGAAAAACAAAGGCGTTGCCAATCAGACATTTGCTCCAGTGTCACAAAACAATAAACATCTGGCCAATAGAAAGTGGAGCCGTGACAGTCACAGCTGCAGTTGTGGG